AACAGATAAGAGGATCAATAAAAGAGACCCAGTGCTTAAGCTTTTGGACACCTTGGAGTAAACACTGAAAGATCATTCTTTTCCTCCACCAAAGCTGCCTCTCTACAAAGTCACAAGAAGACTATGCCAGGTGGTGGGCCAGCTGAATAATCTAGAATGATTTCACCACTTGTAAGAGTGGAATGTTTCCTGATGCAAGAAATTTTCAATCAATTTTGCAAATAATTTTTTGCAAAGGTTTTAGGGTAGTCTATCTTATAATATGGAAGGAGTGTCAAAGCAGGAGAAAGAAAATACACCATTTCCCCAGAGTGAGTTTCATTTATTTACATAAGAAAAGCTTCAAAATGCCAAAGGAGAGGTCCACTTGACCTTCTATGAGATGGACTATTGCTTTGGCCTTCATGGATAGTGGAATGCCTACACTCTGAACTGATGATCATTAAAATCTCTGTGAAGGAGGCCTAGCTGTTATCAATATTTAAATATGCTGTGGTCCAGTCTTTGATAAAAAATTAACATTAATGATCTCAGTAGTTACCTCCCTTTTCTGTGGAAGGTCACAGAAAAGATGGTTCAACAATAGTGCAGAGCACAGAAGAATATTAAAATTCTATCTATTTAGCTTCACTCTCCATTTCACCATATGCATCTCTGGACATTTATCTCTGTTGCAGAAATTGTAAGGACAAAGGTAAGTCTTGATAGAAGTGGTTTGTGATTTATCCACTCTGCTTTTATCCCAGCACTTTTCATGCTCCCCATTTAATTCATAGATATGCTATTCTAAGTTTTAGGTATTTAAATTCTAATTACTATCATGCTTTCTTTTTCACAGTTAAAAAAATTAAATCTCTCCTGATGATGCAGAAGGCTGCTGATATTATGACAATGAAGAGAGAGAGAGATTCATCAAGGCTGTATCAGGGATCCAAATGCATCAGCTAATCCTCTTGTCTAGGCAGGACAGAACATGTCCAGCTGCCATTCCTTGGGATCTTCTAGGGTGTGGAGAGGGAATCAGTTTAATACAAGGGTGGGCAATAAGCCACCCATGAACCAGACACAATTCACCCAGGGTTAGCCCCTGGCAGGCCATCTATGCTTTATTTACATGTGCATCCACAGGTATAGCTGCTCGCAGCTCCCATTGGCCATGGATTGCCATTCCCAGCCAATGGAAAATACAGGAAGCAGTGTCTTGGCCTGTGTTTCTTCCTGCAGATCCCATTGGCCGGGAATGGTGATTCGCCAACAGGAGCAGCAAGTGGCCGTACCTGTGGACTCACAGGTAAATAAAGCACCGACGGCCCACCGGTGGCTAACCCTGGAGTACTGCCTCTGGCTTATTGCCCACCCCTAGTTTAATATCTACTTGTGACTGCAAATGTAAAAAATGTTGATTTGCAATAGCCTTGTTTCACCTTACTTTGTGTTTGTTATTGTATTTTAAAATAATGTAACTATCTTTCTTTGATAGCTTACCAATGAAGAATTTCAGAGAAGAAGTGTAGTATAAGGAGGAATTGGAGTAGAAGATGGCTGATGGGATGCAGAGGAAACCATTCCAAGCAGAAGAGGTATCATGGAAGAAGCAAGACTGGAGAGGGTTGGTGCAGATAATATTTAATACCTACACTAAGTCTTGATGACTATATGTGATATTTTAATATCAATTTATTATGCCTGATTTATTACAATAAAAAATGACTTTAAAAATGAAAAATAAGCAAATGAGAATGTGGAGGACCTTTCCTATTTTAATGGCACTGTTACACAATGTTTTAAGTGAGGGGGAAGAGTTTCTTGTAAGCTTTTAGTGGAGGAAGAAATGCTGTGGTAGTGCTGGTTTTCTGTTGTTTTCTGTGTGAATCTCTCTAACTAGAGTTAATTTTTGAAGCATAGTTGCTCCCTGGTAATGGGCACTGCTGTCGGAACGAGGCCCTTGAAAGAGGGGATTGCCTGCACGCTGTTGTGACTACCTGTGTTCTAGGACTGGTGTGTAAATAAAACAAAGTTGAAATAAGAGTATACTCAGAATCTATGTCACTGATTTCTCCTTCAATAGGGAACCATTCTGCAAGGCTCCCACATTTGCTACAACACAGCAGAAGGATGACATTATCTACCCATCTATCTACTAAAATGTACTTATCACCATGACATTGGAGTGCCTAGCTGAATTCTAGCAGATTAGGATAGTATTTAGCAGATTTAAAGTAGATCATGTGTGGGGACTCAATTTCTAGTATCTAGACCAGCAATGGGCAACCAAGGCTAGTAAGCAGCCACATGAATGACCTTTCTTTATCTCAGTGGGCCGCAAGATTGAAGTTGGGCATGTGTACTAACCATGAACCTAAGAATAAGATTAAATACATTGCATTTGATTCTCATTCCTTATCATGCCTTTTTCAAGACAAAGTGATCCATTATTAAGAGTAAATTAAATTGCTGGCAAAATTAATATAAAGAAGCAGAGGGAGCCCCCAGCTCTCACAATGTTGTGTGCAATCAGCATGTACCTCATGTGTGCCCTTGCTTTAAATGTGTGTGTCAGTTCTCATTTTGCAAGAGGCTGCTTGACCCTCCCCTCCGCTGTAGGCCTTGTCTCCATTCCACCCCTTTGCCCAAATGCCCATATAGTCTCTTCCTCACCTCCTCCCCCAGCATGCCCCATCCCCTCCCTCCCAGCACTTCCAGAGTGCTGTGAATCACAGCTGATTCACAGCTCTCAGAGCCCTGGACTACCCTAGGGAGTTATTTTGAAATAACCCCCCTTATTTCAAAATAATAAGCGGAGCTTCCACACTACCAAACCCGTTATTTTAAAACAACAGGCTGGTTATTTTGACATGTGTAGTCCTGCTTTCCTCAGGGAATAAGCTTATTTCAAAATAGTTATTTCTGGAGTTATTTGAAATTTAGTTATTTTGAAATAATATCCTAGCGTAGACATGCCCTGGAAGTGCTGGGAGGGAAGAAGAGGAGTAGGTAAGTGTAGGGCCCCCAGCTCAAGAGATGGGGGGTTGAGGAGGATTTGCGGGCCGCATGTAGAACCCTGATAGGTTTAATGCAGCCTGCAGGCTGCCCATCATTGATCTTTCTGGTCACTCCTTTTAAGGTTTCCCACAGTTTTAACTGTACAGGTTGAATATTTTCTTCCTATTTCAAAGAACATACTCTACATGCAAGTGTGCAAAATTTACAGATGTGATACTGAGCTATATGAAATAGCTGCTATTACAAATAGGTTAACATCAGCAGCTACAAAGGATAATTAGGTAACTACATTCTGCTCAAAGGCATGATTTAAATGATTTTATGTCTGATTCAGACACAATATAAATGCTTAACGAAGGACCTAACTGTGCATACTGACAGAACAGTTGATATACAAAGTGATGTACTGTGCTGTCAGTAATTTTGGTATTAAGGATATATCAATTCTCTGTGTACATATTTATATGAATAACAGGGCAATTAATAGCAGCTAAGGTTAGTTCTAGGCTCAAAAATGACAGGGTAAAAATGGCACTTTCTTACTCAACAGATCTGTTTCTTTCTGCTGACTGTAATAGCTACCACTTTTACTACATTTTCTTCCTGTTATCCTGCATAGACAAAACAACCAACAGAGAGCACTGAGCTGAATTTTATTCCTTCAGTGACATCATCAACAGACTTACTAATGCAGTTCCAGTCAGAAATACCTGTGCATCACAGACTGAGGTTGTGTCAGTGTAATTGAAGACATTAATTTGGCTTGCAAAACTCTTATTGCAGTTAATGCCAAAGAACTTATCTAGATTGTCGGATCCCAGGTGGAATGTGCAGGGCTGGGAATTAGAAACACAGTGCACATGGAAATCACTGACAGATAATATATATGGAACTCTGTAGTGTAATTTTTAGTTTTGCTTTTCAGCATAAAGCCACACTTTAGATAGCCGTTTATTTATACTACCATTTATTGTTATATCAGGACAAAATATACACAAGAATGTATTCCTGCAGTTGTGTCTTCCTCCAAAGTGGTATATTTTTATTTAGGGCTTAATTGCCCAAAAATGCATTCCTTCACCTGTTCTCACCTCATTTTCAATGCAAACACTAAAGAGTTGGCTCTCCATTTTCCAACAGACAAGATATGTGTCCTGCTCCTGAGTCCCTTACGAACATAAAGGGTGAGTGAAACATTTTTCCAAAACAAGATTTCAATGGAAAGGTCTCATGGAATTTAGAAGTGTTAAGCAATTAAGAATGTTCTATACAAATTTAACAGATTTCCTTAGAAGTTACCCTAAAGCCCTATAGAATGAAATACAAAAATTGTAGTTTTTTCAATTCTATAATAGGTTTATAATTATCTTAAAATTACACAGAAAATTTCAAAATGCTTATGAGACACCCTTCAATTTTCTAATATATTTGGTAGGACTTTTCAATACAGATGGTGATTGATTTATAAAATATTAATAATTTCCCCCTTTTTAAAAAAGTTTGTGAGTTAAATAGACATTTGTGATCTGTCTCATATTACTAGAAAAAAGGATTATTCGTGAAATTGAATAATTGGCAATTTCAATGGTGATAGCATTCTTATTTACATAAGGCACAGTTAGTCTGTTGAACTCGTCACATATACAATTATAAAAGATTAGATAAAAGTTAACGGGGATTCAAAAAAGTTATTGGACTTTACCTGGATACCAAGAATATCCAGTTGTAGTAGCAAATATAAAAAAGTGTTCTGGAAGGGATAGAAACCCTCATGTTTCAATGCATGAGGCAATCTTTAGCTATACAGTGTTAGGAAGAAACTTTTCCTTGGGGCATCTTAGCCTATAACAGCCTTGTGTAGTGTTTCTTCTCTCTGCCCCTCAAACAACTGGTACTAGCCACTGACAGATACTACAGTACATTAACTGCTAGTCTGATCAAAGTCTGCCAGGAGTACCAAACAATTTTGTGACTACAAACAGAGTTGTGTCACTGTGACCTTTTCAGCAAAGTTCCAAGTATTAATAAGATTTGGTGGCAGTGAGAGTTTTGCTGCACTGAGGCAAACTAGTTGCAGAAAGTGGTTTGCTAACACCCATTTGACCACAAGTCTCTGGGTCTACATTTCAGGCAGTGTGAAAAATACAGACACTGCACACCCAGTTAGCAAGGTATAAATAGTAGTGTAGGTACTAAGCAGCAAAGAAAAGCAGAGAGAAGACAGAATCTTAGAGTGTATATCCTAGATAGCTCACTGCAAATCCAAGCAGTGTCTTCCAGAGCTACGCTGCTATTTTTAGCAGTATAGTGTCCCACTGTCTTTCCACTGCCAGAGGTTTTCACTGCCACCTGTAAAGACTGCCAAAAGCCCTTTTTCCGGAAAAGCGTCTGTAGCCAATGTAGACGCGCTTTTCTGGAAAAGAGCCCCGATCGCAATTTTCACTTTTTTCCGGAAAAGACTACTGGGCTGTCTACACTGGCCCTTTTCCGGAACAGTGTTCCAGAATAAGGACTTATGCTCAAGCGGGAGCAGAATAGTTTTTCCGGAATAGCAGCGTCGTTGCTTTTCCGGAAATTCAAGGGCCAGTGTAGACAGCTCGCAGCTTATTCCAAAAAAGCATCTGATTTTCTGGAATAAGTGGCCCAGTGTAGACACAGCCGTGAAGTTTTAAGTGGATGGTGGCTAGTGACTAAGAGCCCTGGGCATTAGCAAGACAGTGTTGTCAACTCTGACAATTTTATCATGTATCTCCTATTATTTGATGTTTTACTTACAGCCCTACCATCTGGAGACAACAGATTACATGAGAATCTCAGTTATCATCCCAAATAAATAAATAAATTTCTGGCCTTCTTGGCTTATGAAGGAAAGCTTGAAAATATGACCTTAAAGGCTCGAAAAACAACAGACAAATAAAAAGAACACAACATATTTTTTTTTAAATCTCAATTTTTTTAAATCAAGCCTGTGATTTGAAGACAGACATCATGGGTTTTTTTTTAAATACTTTAGTTCAAACTGCTTAGGTTGAAACCAGTCAATTAGTAACAGGGGTTCAGAGGCTGGCCATACCTCTCCTAGCCTGTTTGGGTATTTCCAATTTATATATGTGTTGAACCTCTGTAGTCAGGCACTCTCTGGTCTGGCATGATTTTAGTTAGCTGGATATCCACTTATCGCGGGTGTGTCCAACTTTCCCACACTCCCATAAAGTTTGTTTTCAGTCACCAGACCTGGCTCTCAGTGTTCTGTGCTGTTATTTAGCTTTAATGTATTCCTAAATGTCATCTATGAGCCCAGTAAGCAGTGTCTGTGTTGATAATGCTGCTAGACAATATTGACCTCCTGTGGTTTAGAAAATTCTCTGGTTTGTCACTGGTCAGAGAAGGACTAGAGAGGCTCAGCCTGCATTATATATAAATATATAGTTGTTTCTCCCACATTTGAGGGTTCATTCTCCCACGAACTTCTGAGTGTTTGCCAACAGGGAACAAATACTTGAAAAACTTGGTTACATTCCTAAAATTTTGGAGTGGGTAAGGTTTTAGGGTGGGTACACAAGATAAGTATTTATTTTAAAAGAATCACCTAGTCATCACTGATTTACCACTGCTAAAGACAACTGGCAGAAGGGTTACATGTTATTATGGAAAATATCAACAAGGGTTATATTTTTCTTAACAATTCACTCATGATGCAGGGGTATCATAATTGTTCATGCCTTCATCTCCTGGGTGTTAGGAATCCCCCTCTTAACCCCTTCACCCAGAAGCAGTTAGAATGAATATACCAGCACACTGCGCATCTTCTATATTACACAGACAACCTTAAAGTTAATTTAAGTATATAACACATGGGCTGCATCTAGACTGGCATGATTTTGCAGAAATACTTTTAATTGAAAAGTTTTTCTGCTAAAAGTATTTCCGCAAAAGAGCGTCTATACTGGGCATGGATGCTTTTGCGCAAAAGCATCCGTGCCCAGTATAGACGCGCTTTTGCTCAAGAAAGCTCCGATGGCCATTTTAGCCATCGGGATTTCTTGCACAAAATATTAAGGTGCCTGTCTACACTGGCCCTTTCGCGCAAGTATATTTGCACAAGAAGCACTGAATTCTTGCATTAGAACGTCAGTGCTCTTGCACAAATTCAAGTGGCCAGTGTAGACAGCTGGCAAGTTTTTGCACAAAAGCAGCTGCCTTTGCACAACATCTTGCCAGTCTAGACGCACCCATGTTGAATACAAAATACCCCAGAAATGAAATTAACACATTATCATGCAGTAGAAACACAGAGATAACACATTTCAAATATAGACCTATATTTATATACTGATACGTGAAGCAAAATGCAAAGAATCTCCACAATTCTCTCAGAAAAAACATTTTGGAGCAGCATTTATTTATAGTTAAAATAGATGCCACTGAGGAAAGTAACAATGTCAGGAAAAATCCTCAATGCACTGCAAGGGTTTAAAAAAAAAAAAAAAACACCCATGATCCTTGATCATCAAAAAGCTACAACGAAGATCAAGAAGAATTAAAACTGATGGTGTGACAGAAGTAATCCACCTTGCAGCATAAGGTCATTACACCCACTGCCCTTATTGAAGTCATCTTACTTCTGAGGCCTGATCTAAAGCTCTACAGTCTGAAAATGCTTTTAATTAGTGTATTAGCATGAAGATGAATGAGACCTGCATTTACCCCTACATAACTATTGCCAGGACATTTGCAGAGCAGGTTCTAAGTTCAGAAGTTCCCTGTCACCAGTGATGTGACTCAGATTTTCAACAACCCTTAAATTAATTCTTCCTCCAAAAAATTGTTTAATTGAGAGCCCTAGTCTGGTATCACTGTCTATGTCAAGAGTCATTTCACTGAACTCAGTTGAATTACATCTGTACAAGATTAGATTTAGGCCCAGAATTGATAAAGGAAATCATATAGCAAAATATGTAACTATAGAATAAAAAAACAAGTTAAATATCAAAAGAGTAGAACTGACTAGTTAATTTAGATAAAAATATTAATTCATATATTCAATTAATAATGATGGAACAGGTATAAACATATGAAAATCCACTTTACATTCTCCAACAACAGCCTTGTCTGGCCCATAAAACACACTTACAAACTCTGTCAACATATACCAGGCTCATTTTTTGACATAATTATTGATGTAAATGTTGAAACAGTTGATAAAGTAGTGAAGGAGCTAATGCAGAATCAGGATGTCACTGCAAACTCTATGCACTAATCATGTGATGTCTTCTGGCTTTACCTAGAATTATGTCCAGAAGCGTTTTATTGGTCCGGTTTCCTATCCTGAGCACCTGCTAAGGTGCACAAGAAACGAGTTTCATTGCTATACACCTCTCAGGAATGGAGCACCGTTTCTGTTGCTGTGCCCAGCATGTAAGAACCTTCCATTACTACCTCCTGCTAAGTTCCACAAGGAAAGAACTCTTCTTCGCACTCTTGAAGGCGTGCCACTGTCTGCCCTGTTTTGCTTCTATGCTCTATTGAAACAGAATCTGTGCTTCTGCAATGTTGTCCCTCCAGAATCCTGGGCAATTTCCTCTCCCCCTCACATGCCTCTATTTGTCAAATAGCTTCACATATTATATTTTAGATGCTACAATTTTTTCACAACAAATGAAAATTGTTAGCACTTGTTGACTAATATTTTGACTGTTGGTCTGTGTGCTAGAGATGGGAAAAAAAGCAACATGAAATGATACTTATTGCATCTTGTGGATAAATGGAAAATATTTTGGGGGCAAATTTCAAAATCACTTATTTTTCAGATTTATTTCAAATAAAATATTTTAATTCAAAATTCTGCAAAAAAATATTTTTAAACTTCTCTTCCAAATTTCTCATTTTTCTGTTTTTCAGTTTTCATCTCAAGCCAATGCAGGCTACTTAAACTGAATAATAATTTTGCAATTTTCAACTATGTAGGAATTCACACAGACATTACCAACTTGATTCTTATTTATAGTAACATCTCTAGTGTAAATGAGGATCAGGTCAATCCCCAAAGTAGTCTATGCACAATTAAAGCTAGGATTTTTTGGGGGGAGGGGAAGAAGGGGGCAGTGTCATTTTTCTAGGCACTGAAAACTGTTTGCAAATTTAGGCTGAATTTGGCAAAACAGATCTGGCAGGGAAATATGAAAACAAAAATTTTTTAAATGTTAAAATGAACTGTTTTGAACTGGCATTTCAAGTCAGCGTTTCATTTTGAAAGTCACACTTGACCTAAAAAAAAAAAAAAAAAGAAAACCTTTCATTTGTTTGAAAAAAAAAAATGAAAATAAAATCAGTTGGTTTGAAATAAATCAAACCACTTAGAAAGTGTTGGTGGCAGGGATTGGCCTTCAAATTGAAGGATTAATTAGTCACTCATTTCTATCAGTGGCCACCATGATAGGCCTTATTCTCCAATCCTTTACATTTGTTTCACATCAATATAACAGTGAAATGAAGCCAGTGGATTTATACCAATATAAAACTGGAGTGTAACAGCAGCAAATCAGACCAATAAGAGGAATTATATTTTGCAGGCACCACAATGGCTACTATGAGAGATTTAAAGTGTGAAATATTCAAGCAAGAATGAAGTGTCGAGTCAGATCTAGAGACAACACTACACCAACAGAAGACATCTGAGTTCTTTTTTCAGATTTCTTAACAAAAAAAGTTAATAAAAATGCTGAAGTTCCTCTTTAGTGCTTCTGGCAGACATATATAGTAAGATACAAAATGCTGTAAATGAGTCTAAATAAAATTGCTGAGTTTTTTCCTCCTTACCATCTGCAGCTGTACTGGAAAAACACTTGCCCCTAGCTACTGTGTTTGTAACACACTTGTATAAGATTTTCACACAATCCTATCCTATCCTATCCATCTAGGCAAGGGCCCCTCTTACCCCAACCATCACTGGGCTCACCTTTTGCTCCTAACCCCAGAGTTTGAGGTTCACAGCAGCTCTCTATGGTAGTGAGCCCAGCCATACCTCCTCAGACTCCCTCCCTAGCTAGCTAGCTCCATTGAATATGGGTGTGTTTTTACTCTCATTCCCCACCACCTCCCTTCCATCCTCTCTTTCCAGCTGCCAACTGCTGAGGCTTTTAAAGACCCTCAGTCATCCAGAAGCGGAGTCAGCTGACCCCAATCAGCCTGAGCCAGTTCCCTCCCAGCTGCATCTAATTGGCCTGCAGCTCTCTGCTTCTACTTACAGGGTTTTTTACCCTTTTCCCCTCTCCGCAGTAGCTCCCTGGCGTGATCCTGCTACATTATCTATTTATCTACATAGAGTATATCTCTCTGTTTGTGAGTCCATCTATTTGTCTGTGGGTCCATTTGTTCAAGAACTCCTCCTAAACAGAAATACCTAGGGCCACCAAATTTGGTATGCACAGGAGTGGCCCGAGGCCAGCTGCAGCAGCTTGTGCCCCAGGTGGAATGCACGATCGGCACCCCCACCTGCAGGGCTGTCAATGGACTAATGTCATCGGTGGGCACCCCAGGCGGCAATGCCCTAGGCAGCGGCAGAGTCTGCCTATAGCCATGGTCCGCCCCTGGGTATGCAGCTTCTTCTTATCCTAACTTAAAGCAAGGTCAGGGTTTGGTTGTGCCAGAAAAACAGGAGGTACCTGAATGGGACTGCTTTCCATAACAGGGAAAGGGAGGGAACAGAGAGGAGGGACATAATACTCACAGTGGCCACAGGGGGCAGCAAGCCTAGAGGAGAGGTATGCCACACCACCAAGAGATTGGCCAGCAAGGGCTGGGGTTCACCATCTTCCCTGCCACCAGACTGGGTAAATTTCCCTGTTGCCCCAAACTCTCCTCCCACTCCAGCCCTTGGCCCTAGCACCAGAGGGAAGGGGTAGCTCTAAACTAGCTGCCAGCAACTGGTGCCCTAGGCAAACCAAGCAATCGGCACCGCCCTCCCCCCAACCCCAAGGGCAGATATAGACTGAGGTTTTTGGTTCTGTGGGAGAGTGGGGCTGGGGATGGAGATCTATGGCTGGGGAGAGGGAACAGAGAGAATCCCCTGAACCAGACTCCTACCAGGCCTCCCCCCCCCCCACCCCCAGGAAGCTGGCA